CACCCTCCCTGAGTGGAAAGCGGAGTTATTCCACAAGGTGAGAACTCCGGGGGTGCGTCGGATGATTCCGAAAATCCGCTAGCTAGTTATCTGAGAGGCCGGAAAAAACGGTCGATCCGAGGGTAAGGGCTCTCGGGACAACTCGAAGGGTCTCTCGGAAAGTCCGGGTGAAAATCCGAAAATCGAGACTCGTCCCAGCGCGACCTCTATAGGGCCGTTGTCGAAAGCACAGAGCGTGTCGTTCGCGAGCGTTCGCTTCGTCAGACCCGCGCCGATGCGGAGGAAACGGACGTCGTACCGTTGCTGTTCCTGCAAAGACACGACGTCCTCGTCGATTTGTTCTCCAGCTTCACCGGTTGGCCTTGACTGGGAAGGAAAGCCTCCCGCTTCTTCGTGGCGGCCTGAACGGCCTGACCGCCGACTTGGCCGCCGCCGTGCATCACCATGCTGCTGCTCGTGGTGCTGCTGGTGAGGCCGGAAGGGCCGTTCACGGTGACGGTACATCCCGTCGTCCCCGTCGGCGACTGGTACTCCTGCAGGAGAACGCCGGTAGTCGGCGCGACCCCGTTGGTCGAGTTCGGCGACGAGAAGCTGTTGATGGTGAGCGTCGGCGCGCTGCCGGTCACTAGGGACAGCTGGGGCGAGAAGGCGTTTTGGTGGAGGCCACCTTGCCAAATGAAACAGACACGTAAACGTCAGGCCAGAATCCGGCCGCGTGTGTCCCGCGTTCGCGTTCGTCGGGATTCGCGGGGGAATTCGCAGAAGAGATATGTAGCCTCGAATCAACGACTTCTCATGCATAAGCGAGAATATTGCGATATTCTTGGAAGGTTTTTAGTCTTGAATTGAGCGCAAGTAATACTTGCGTCGATGCAAATTCAATCAAATCAAGATTAAAATCCCCCTGAGAAAATTGTGATATTCTTGCTTATAAGGGCGTGCTGAGAAAAAGCATCCGGCGTTCGTATGGTAGATACTACACGTCATACTGAGTAAGAAAGTCTTAATAAATATACGGTCGAGAAGTCAATCGTTTCTGAGATATAAATAATTTTGATAGATTAGTATCATTGCTGACTTATTGGCCTCTATGTGTCGCATGCGACGTCAAGATTTATCCTCGGTATTTGCAAACCGCGTTCTGAATCTCTCCTTATTCAATTTCCACGCATACTTGAGAAAGATCTCACCGGCAATCATTGCGGTTGTCATTAATATACATCTTCGAGGGAGTTCGAGACTCTGTAAGAAGAGGATGCCAAGCGTGCATGAAAATGGAAGGAGGACACATGGAACACCTTCTGTAAATATCGAGGCGAAGATTTGGAGAGATTATTCTCCCTTCTCACGTCGCATGCGACACGTGGAAATCAATAGGTCAGTCGTGATCCCAATATGCAAAATTGTTTATATCTCAGTAACAATTAAATTCTCGATCTCTGTTTACTAAGACTCTTTTTACTCAATGTATAGGGTGCACTATCTACCGCATGAGTTCTGAACGCTTTTCTTTCCAACACTCCGTATATGAAAATATCTATTTTTACGACTAATTTTCTTTCTCTGCGTAACGAGAAATAGCTCTCTCTCTCTCTCTCTCTCAATAGAAAGAAAGAAAGAGATTGATAGATAGATGGATTGATAGACGGAGGGAGAAACTCACCATGATGCAGATGGTGGAGCCCGGTGAGGTTGAGGGTGTGCTGGGTGTGCTGCGTGTGCTGCGCGTGATGCAGGCTACCCACGTTCACGCCGACACCCTGCAGACTCAGGGCCTGCTGACCCGCGGGTGCCAGGTTCGCCAAATTTTTCGCCAACAGCTCCAGCTGCGTCACGGGCACCGGGCTGTAGGGCGATCCCGGCGGCGGCGTGGGAGCGCCCCAGGTGTAGCCACCCACCCCCACCCCCACCGCCGCGGAAAACACGCTCTCTGAAACTGGAGAATCCGCCGATTAATCGACCCGCCCTTCCGCGGACGTTCACGGACGAACGTCCGTTCCGTAAAGTGGGAAATACCGTGCAACGGTATAGCGCGACGGACGAATATCGAGTGGAATACTCCGCCGGTCTGCTCGATATAACTCATCGACTCGACTCCGGAATGCTTGACCCTCGACGCAACGTCACTCCTTCCGTAGCGAGCGCGCCTTCTACGCGGCATTTCCGCGACGCGACCGGAGTATTGCAGTTTCGGAAAAAGTCGAGCGCGATTAGATAGCTCGGAGATATCCGGCCCCGCTCGAGCTCGGGTTCCCGTAACGAGACGGGACTATATTTCGCGTCTCTGATTCTCGACGAACCATCGACGGTCTCCCCCCTCTTTCTCTCTCTTTCTCCTCGGACAGAAATGACAGAGATGTCAATCGAGAATACTACAACTATTAGACTATTAGACGTTATTGTCTCTTAGCTTCCACATTTCTGCAGCTAACTCTGCGTGACACCTGCTATACAACATTTCAGTTTAGCTTGAAGTCTTAAGTATTCATTTTTCTATACTTGGTTCTCTTTGCTTTGCCATTCATTTCTTTTCATCTTGTTTCCTTCTCTTTGCTCTGTATTCATTTTTCTTTCAGTTCGCGCATGTTACGAATTGTTTTGCACTCCCATATGTGCATAAAATGTAAGCGCATAATTAACCTTAGGGATTTTTCGCACACTTTCTTTCATATAAATATATTTTACATATTTTAATTTATATATTCTTTCATTTGTTTATTCTGTTGTGCATCGCTTAAAATTGTGTTACTATCAATATTAACTTTTAAACTATAAAGTTTTTCGAGAACATGCCCTGAAAACAATAAAACACCTCTCACTCTCTCTTTCTGGCCGTGTTTTATTACCGCACGAGCCGCTCCCGAGTATCTTTTTTTCGCGGTATACCGCTTCGCTGAAGAACCGAATGCCGCAGGTTGCGACTGATGTTCACGGAATGCGTTTCGCAAGGAAAACGCACATTCTCGCCGGCCAGAGACAGAAAGAAAGAAAGAGAGAGAACGCGTCTCTCTCTCAGCGAGCGCGGTCGCGCAATATATCTTCGGTAGCGCTGCGCCACCGCTAGGACTATTGATTTTATCTAAATGTGGATACGTATCTGCCTATGCAAATTAATGTGTGTGAAAAATATCCCGCCGGTATCTGCAACACGCGCGAATTTACGCGTTACTACAGCGTTCCTTTAACGCATGCATTTTTTTCCTTAAGCGTTGTCGAAGTTGTCGCATTCGGGACGAGCGAAAATCAAAAGTAACTTCTTCTGTAGGAAAGTCTCGAAGCGAATATACGCGGAGATAAAGATTTCTTTGGATTTGATAAAATGTATTTAATTAAAGCAAATTTGTCTTTTCGAGCGGAGCAAACAAACGAATATTTGACTCAACAAACAGGGTCGTTTGGCTTCTCAAACAATAAATACCTTCACGCCAAACAACACATTTCTTTTGTATTTTCATTGAAAAATTACAATCTTTGTCACAAGTGATAAATTATTTGAGAGAAATAACGTCATGTTGGTAAAATATTGAAGAACTTTTTTTATTTCATTGAAACGATATATTCGATGCATAATGAAATACATTTTTTTTTTCATTGAAAGCGAAATATTATTCCCTCTAAATAATATTGTCTCTCCCATCGATGTGCGGTTTATTCTAATGAAACAACAATATTTTCATTCGACAACAAAACAATATTTGAGATTTAGAGATCACGTCGTTTTATATTAAGCAAACCCGGGCCAAACAGACACGTTCCAAATCCAAAGAAACCTTTTCCTCCAAACAGATCTCCTTAAAATTCCGCGTGTTCTCACGGCGATATCCGACGTGAATCACGGAGGAGCCTCCCTTATCGCGCTCATGCTCGATCGACTCGCCGATTTACACTCACCTGTACGTTCTGCGGCACGTGCAACGAGGCATGAAAAAAGATAACGTTGGCAATTAGAGATCGCGAGAGATCGAAGGTTTGGCGATCGGGCGTGCGTGCGTCGCGACGCTCTCGTCGAAGATCGTGCGCATTTCCCGGCTCGCTACCAATTAGCGGACATCCTCTATGGCTTTTTTACGTCGCGAACCCTTTCACGTCCGCGCGATCCCCCCTCCCCTCCCGGCCGATCCACAATGGAGCAATTATGCAATTAAAGCGGCGGACTCGGAGGACTCCGGCGGAGTTGAAGAAAAACGCGCGCGCCCAAATAGAATTCCCGCGTGTGTCCAGTCGCGCACCGCTCGTCTCACCTCCGTCCCTAACAACCTCATTGTCCGAGGTGTAACCCAAAACGCGGCTCCGTGAGGAGGGGTAGGAGGGGGAGGCGGCGGCGGCGATAGTAGTAGTGGTGGGAGAGCGAGGATTCGAGAAGGAAAGAACGGAGAAAAAAAGAAGAAAGAGGAGGAACACGGGGACACGTCGGAGGGTCGATTCCTCCTCCGCCTCTTCCTCATCGAAGTCTTGTCGAAAATCGAATCTCCATTCGCCACCGAGGTTTCAATTATCCGAGTGAGTCGACCGAAATTTCGGTTCCGCGTTAACTCCGCAAATTTCGTCGCACTTGAAGGACCAATGGGGAATCTCGGGGTTTAACGCTATGCGGGCTATTGTTATTTCGTTGATGCCACAAGTGGTTGCTCCGATTGCCTACCTTTCTCACGTTACGGCTCAAAGAAGCGCATAAATATTTTCAGAATTACTCAATATCCGATTATCTCAACGTTCAACGCGAAGAGAATATTACGTGTAACTTTTTCTCGTAGAAATTATTACCAATTTCATTGTGATTTTTTAGTAGTGCGCGGGGATAAGCTGTCGGTAGAGTTTTATCTTACTGCAAGGGACACGGTGGATTTTGTAATACATTGTACAATTCTTAAAACGTAAATCGGCGTCGTACGAAACGGGAGGATGATAAATTACGGCGGAATGTTGATGTGTGTTCCACGGTTAAACAATTCTACTGGAATTTAATGCTGCAATTTAATATTCTGCATCAATGGAGATTTAAATTTGGATTCGGCACAACAGAGAGAGAGAAAGAGAGAGAGAGAGAGAGGAAGGGAGAGCGACGAGCCTTTAAACAAAAATAAATAAGCGACGTTGGTAAATTTAAAATGGGATTTGCGAAGAGTGTTTTGAGAGCGTTGATTGCATGTTGTTGAGATATCTCGGCCATCGAGACTACATGTGCGTCATTGATTGCGAATGACGACGGTTGACGATTAATGGAAAGAGGAGGGTGACTTTGTCGTTCTTGCCCATTGTTTCGGGATTTTCACGCGTCTCGCACTTCTCCCGTGACCGAGTCATTTCGTGCCGACGAACGACATATCGCGAACTATATGTGTGTGTATGTGTGGTGTTGCGTTATAGTTACACAATCCTTGTCGGATGATTAAAATATTTCATCGGCTCTCGGGATATTTAGTCGAGGTTTTCGTCCACACGTCGCGTTAATTCACACGAGCTTCTCCGATCATATCTACGCGAAACGTCAGTGCCAATATCAATGCCATGAGAGCGTATCCGGAGTGATAAATAATCGGATAAACCTGATAAATAATCTTGGCTTTTGTGAATGTGAATCATTCTGTCTCACTGCTCGTCTATTTATGTTTATTTCACATAAAAGTATTCATCGGGGCTGATTAACGGCCCATGAATATGAATTCGAAATTCATTATGCTCTCAAGCAAGAGCTTTAATTAATTTATTAATTATGAATATCGATTTTAGAATCTGATGTACGCCTCGATCGAGCGCTGATTTGTGCATCTAATAATACTCCTTGTGCTGCAAGTCCCACCATGAATCTGCCAATGCATTCTTCTCTCCGCTTTTGCTCAACATTGTTATTATCATATTTACGATATGTTATTTAGGTTATTTATATATAGTATCGAATCTAAATTTAAGTCAGGATTAGTACGCTTATTGGCATAGCTGCCATTTTTGCCCTCACAGCTCCTTCCTCATCAACCCTTCTAAGTGTCCAAATCCCGTGACGATTTTTAACGCTAACAAACAATGAAAAAAATGTTTGCCGTTTTCATTCCTTCGTATCGGTTATTCAATATTTACTTATAGTTTATACTCTATCTGCAATCAGGTAAGTCACATAATTAATGCGTTGCTTATCAAAATCGAGAATCAAGATTAAATTCAGATGGAATATTGAGATAATGGGGTATTAAAACATTCTAAAATAACTGTTTCATCGAACCTTGACACGGAGGAAACGACAATAAATTACAATAATTTAATAAATTACAGTCTATACTGCCCGTTCGCAGCAACGAAGTAAGTCAATAGCCTGTGCTACGTTACATCTCGGGATTCTCCATTGGTTCTTCAAGGTCGACGAAATTCGCTCTAACGTGAACCTGAAATTCCGAGCCGAATCCCGTCCGGCTCGCGAAGATGCTCGAGGAAAACCGAGGCGGCGCGGGAGAAACCCGCCGTCGAATCTAACCCGATGAGGTCTCGGCTTAATCCCGTATTTTTCCGAGCGTAGTAATGCTTCGGACGGCGCACGAAACGCAATAGCAGAGAGCGATACGTGCGCCTTGCTCGGCCGGCGCGAATGTAAAGCGAATGGTGAAACGCGGCGTTCACGAGTGTTCTCAAACGGTGAGCCGAAGAAAGCGAAGGGGAGGAAGTCGTTGCGAACTTACCCTTGTGAGTCGTCGCGTGATAAGCCCGTGCTGACGCTGGGGGGCCCGGGGTGGCGGGGGTGGCGGCGACGTAACTGCCCCCACCACCCCCCGGGAATAACGAGTACAGTCCGTAGCGATTCGCACCTGTAACATCGTTAAGGACATCGAGGAGTTAATAATGAATGCGCCAAAATAATTGACGACACACTGTGAGATTACTTCGTCGACGCAACCCTTAACCGGATAAACCTCACGAGTGCGCGCGAATTCTCCTCTGTCACGGGAGCGAAACATCTAAAATTGAGATCCTTTCGTTAGCTCGCCGTATCGATTCGTTGACATTCGTGCCGGCGAGATAAGGGGAGCCAGTTGGCTACAGAGGTGAGCCGACACATCGCTTATATTTCGGCCATTTTCGAGCAAATTGCAGAATCAAGCGAGCGGGGAATGCGAAACCATCTTTGACACATGAGACGTAAGTAGTTGCATTTCATTACGTGCAAACGGTTGTGAAAAAACGCTATTGAATTGCACGTTTAACAGTGAAAGTAAAATCTCACCACCTCGTAAATTCATTTATTTTATTGATAAACGTAGAATCTTGCGTTAGTTCTTGTCGTAACTAGAGCATATATTTCGTTGATTACATTTTAATAAACTTCTCAATATATATTTATATCATACTTTATGTATATAACCCGAGGAAAACTTAACTTTGGGATAGGTTGGCACGAAAGAAACGGCACGGCTTGTCCTACTTTCAGGTTACGTTACGCTAATATAATTCTGACTGCACCACGCGCGGTAAACGGTTAAACTTATTATCTCTTAAGGTGTATTCAATTAAACGTAGAAAAGACAAATCAGATATTTTATTTCTTATTATGTTCACACTTTTTTCCCTTTCCTTTTCTTTCTATTTATCTAATTAAAACAAGTGATAAAATTACGAATAGTAATTTTGAATGCAGCTCTAATAATATACGTATAAATGTTATTATACTTGTTATAAATGTTATTATACTTGTTTGTACTGTATTATTATTATATTTATTTATATTATTTTTCATAAAGATATTAGTGTGAAGAAATATTTGATGTGCATTTTTCCATTTATTTAATACATAAAATGATGTATCAACAGGTCTAAATTAGATGAATTTTGCTGCTATATAATAGCAATATTAATGAAATAAATATGTCATCGTTTTAATACAGCCTGAAGTACATAATACAGGAAATAAAGTTGAATTAACTTCGTACGTTTATGGTAAATTATGTCAACATTTAATGAATCATACTACATTTTTCTTGTCGTCTTTCTAACGTCAACATTTAATGAATCATACTTTATTTTTCTCGATGTAGTCGATATAACCCGTTAACGAGGCAAGTTGACACTCCCGACATCCTCCAAGATAAAACTGATTTCTTCTATAAATTTTAAACCTTTCAATGTATATTTTTCCTGTTGCCGAAGGATTGTACTTTCGAATTACACCAAAGATAGGCACAAAATGCTGCTAGAAAAGAAGAAAATAAAAGAAAATATAATAGATACGTCAACTAGCCCCGGTCTCTCCTGAGATTTTCTCGTCGAAACCAAAAATATGACGAAACAGCTCCGGCTTTTTTTCTCTTTCGCGTGACAACCGCGGCGTTCAAAAATACCACAGTCGTGCAGTTTCTAACGACGTTAACGTAACGATTTTTCATAGGACCGCTATTTATTTATAAGTTGACTGACTCGAGGATCAAGGATAGACTTTGCTCGCGCGGAGAAAGATGGCCCGAATCACGCCGCGCGCGCGCGCGCGCGCGAGACGCTTGTATTTCGAAAGCGGCGGGGTTCAGCTTCGAAAAAGCTCACCGAGAACGATACATCACGGTGTACCCGTGCGCACGCGCTTCATTGTAATTCGCAATGTATTTAAAGTGGACTTATATCTGCAAAATAAGCGGCTCGCGCTTAGTCACGGTAAGTCCGCGAAAAAAAGAAAAAGAAAAACACCGGCATAATAGTGAAATGTGACCCGTCCGGTTTCACGCGGATGATAATATCATACATAGACGAGAGAATACCAACAATGCACCACCACGAGACGCAATCACAGCGCGATTATACTAAACCAAGCGTGAATAGCTCGATGAACGAGAAACTAACATTTGCGCTGTCTTGAGACCGATAAAACGCCGCGATATGACAAAGTCACGTGACCCGGATTAACGCGAAAAACCGGCACGTACCGGGGATGAGAAAAAAAAAGGAAAAGTCTTTGCCGAAACCCGGGTTTGAACCGGGGACATTTAGATCTTCAGTCTAACGCTCTCCCAACTGAGCTATTTCGGCACACGAGAGCTGTTTCGCGAAGCTCGGATTCCCGCTGGCGGACTGATAAAGCGTGATAAGCGCATTATACGTCAAGCGTGAACGACCTCTGATCAATAGTGAATATTACATAACATATACCGGATGTACCGCAAAACTCGTTACCGTGAAGAGTTCGAAAGGCGACTTTTTCACGACAAGAAAACTTCATCGGACTGCGCGTTACACGCTTGCGACGTCCGATGAGGCGAATTGACGAAATATTCGTTAACACGTTCACCACACCGGCGTCACACGTGTGCGACGTATCGATCTCTCACAAGAGACCGGGACGTCGCGCGATAATTTTTCATCCCGTGTCCACGAATCAAGTCTGTTTTACATCCAACGAGCCCGTTGTTTTTCCCCGAGATCAACTCCGCGACTCCGCTCAACCCGGGAGAATATAGAGAGATAGAAATTTTCTCGGACTTTCCCATTTATAGATAGTATAAATTCCGATTAGAACGCTCAAAGTTGTCCCAAGATAGGTTATCCGATATCGCGATATCAATTGGAAACCCCATCTTTATCCCAAACATTTCTGTTTCTTGCACGGAAAATATCTTGGAATCTGATTCCGTTCGACTTCCCAAAATAATAACGATGGGTTCTAGTTGGGTAAGGTTACACCTACGACACACGAGATATCAGTTGCAAAGTTCTAATAAGTAAATATTAACGCTAGTATTAAACACGTGCATATTTAATTTGAAATCTCGTCTATTCCATAATTTAACTTTAATATTGTTGCGATAGCATTCTGCGAGAAGATTGCGCTAAATCGTCGAATATACTGAAAATCATGTGACAAAGAAGAAGTAATTTAAGAAATCTTACAACTATTTCTTTACATAATAATTTTTACATACATGACGCAAAAATCTATAGACATTATGCATTACGTGATGAGAAATTTCTGATAAATCTAAGTAAATGTTAAAGATTAGGTTAGGTAAGAATAAAGTTATTGTGTTGGCTTGTATATATCTGGCTATTATCATTGGAGCTGTGTATGCAATTTTTTACCTTATTTTTTTATAAGTAAGATTTAAACGGAAAACCGGTGAAAATCTGTGGGAAAACTTTGGGGTGATCAAATAGAACCTGTTTGTGTTTCACATTTAGAATCGCATGTTTAAAGCATTACGCTTCTAACCGGAATCAATAATTACCCTGGGAAATAGAATTCTACTCAGAAATTGAGATCCTAATTAGATCCCAAGAAATTTTCTACGCGGGAATTTATGCGTAAAGAGATCTCTTTAACCATTGTTCGATTATTATATAAGGTGCCTCTGCATAAGGGGAACATCTAAATATCTTGGGGGCCTAAATATGAAGACTCTAGACAAATCGAATAAAAATAACCGTAAAAAGAATTTTCTCCTTCGGAACCATTGAAATTGTGCTCTGAACATTTTTCATATCATTAAAAACAAAGGAGATATTTAAATGTCCTTCTTATGCTAAGGTACATTGTATACTGACTACGATTGAAAGAATTTTTTTGTTAACATGCGTTTCATTTAAAAAGAGTCCACAATAAACTCAACCGTATTGGATTGATTAACATTTTGTTTGAAGAATTTTTAAATAAATTAATTACTTTAAATAAATTGTTAAATTATTTTCTTTATCAGATGATTTTCTGGAATCAGATCATATTTCTTTTATAACCGACAAATAATAATATTAAATAACCAGCGTTCGATCAATTATATTATTATTATTACATTATTATAAATCTGTTTCGCGCTATCACATGAAAAAGAAATACAGGGTGTGGCGGCCGGTTTCCTAAACAAACTGGTGGTGGAGAACGCGTTAAGTATCCCGATTACTCTGAGAGAAACGAATTGGACCTCCGATAAATCAGGATTCTCTCGAAATTAGATTGAGAAGTCTCGATCGATCGCGGCCCCTCCGCGTTACCGACGTGTTGCCGGATAGTTATGTGTTGTCGGAGGTTGGTTTTAATTTTAGTTTGCACGAAAAATCGTCCCCGAATTCGATCGACGATACCGCGAAAGGCAATCTATAACCGGCCTGCGAATCCGGGACAGAATTCTATTTGTAGTTTCGCACGTCGCGCGCGCAGAGAGAGAGAGAGAGGGAAGAAAACACCTCGGGATGAATTCTTCCCCCGAATTTCCTCGCTCCTCCCTTACTCTCATCGTCTGAATTAGCTGAAGAGAAGAAACGGGCGTTCGACATATTCGGCAAGGATATTCAGGCTCTCGAATCCTCGAGGCCCGACTTCCGCGGATCGTTACGCCGGCGAGATAATAATAACGATTGATATAACGCAATACAAACCTTGATTGTGAGCGGGCGCAGGCGTAGCGGCCAGGGATGGTATGCCCTGGGTCTGCTGATTGGGAACCTGATTGGGCTGCGCAGGTGCTAAAGGCCATAGGGTCGTCGTAGCGGCAGGGCCGGTCGTCTGCTGGGCCCGTGCCACCGTGTCCCCCACGGGACGATCCCCGGTCGCACTTTGGGCCACGGGAGGGACCAACATCGAACCACCCCCTCCCGAGGCTGCAATCAGAGTATCAAAAAAACACACGGCATTAATCTCAATTCCAGGTGCGGCATGCATCCCGCGTACAAATCGGCGAGGACGTGATCCTCATCCCGCTCGCGGATTCTTCTCATCGCCGGCGACGAAGGCGAGAGATGGGGTTTTCCTTTCCCCCGGGGAAATGTTCCCGGGGAAAATTTCGCCGCGAAATTCGACGCTAAATATCATGGCGATTGAAAGCCGAATTGAAATTCCGGGGGGACGAAATCCGACGGAATTTCGGCGGAGCGCAAAGGTGGAAAGCGGGAAAAGCTCTTTCTTTTTCGCTCGGGTTAAGCCGGCGCCACACGATGTCGCAAATGTAGACGAGCGTCGGAAATTGTATTGATCACGTATGTTATATTATGTTACTTATGTTACATTGTCACGTATGTTGTACATTCGCCTAACATACGTGACAAATATGATTGCCAACGTTTGCCGTATTGTGTGGAGCCGGCTTTATAGGTGGGGAATCGTCTGTCGCTGCATCGATGTTCCAGGTGAGAAAAGTCAGCTACAAATTCGACCGAATGACGTTGATCGTTCCAGTCAAGATCGGCGGTTTCGAGACACCCCGTAGATACGAGCACAGACGTCCATGTCTATAAATCTTCGTTTAGCATACGCGGTAGAAAGTAACACTGCCGCGTATCGACGCGATGTACGAGCAAGAAATTACTCGTACTTTTAAGCTGTGGCCGAGTCGAAAAAAGAAAAAAAAAAAGAAGAGCGAAGTATCGATGTTATCGTGTTACCGTTAGCATCTAGTACTAGTAGGTACCTAGTACGACGGGTACAACGTCCAGCGTATTCGTTAGACACTATCGCGATATCGTAAGCATCTCGAGAAGTCGACGAGTTGAAAAAAGGGTCGAGGGGGGAGGGACAGGGAAGAAGCGGAAGATCGAGTTCGAGATTGACGAGGTGGGAGAAAAGGAGAAACGGCGAGCGGAGGGAGGCGGTAAAACAGAGAAGAGGCCGAAACGAAGAATATAGAGCGGTTTCAATGAGCTGAAGTGAGGAGGAACGCGAGAAGAAGCACGAGAAGAAGGTGGACGAGGGGGAGGAGGAGGCGGTGGAGGAGCGGGTGGAGGAGGGTTCCGTTTCGTAGTGGATTAGGTCGGAAGGAACAGTAGAAGGGTGCGAGATAGGAAAGGGTAGCAACAGGTCGGCAAGCATAATGTAGTCTCTTAGATATACAGGGTGACGCATCGCCCAAGAGTGTGTCGGGCGATCGGCATTGTCAGTCGATGTATTCGTCTCTCGAAGTCGCCTTCAGAATCCTTCCGAAATCCCCCAATTTACCGGCGAAACGCGCGAGGGCACATCGGCGAATGCGGACGCAGCGAGTGTCGAAGTGGCCCTCTGATCGCACGAGGTCGGAAAACGAGCGCCGATTCGAAGCGATCTCGAAGCGAGAAAGATCCCACAAGGCGAGATCTGGACCACCACGAAGTCGGGGGTCGTGTTCTGGACGCGTATCGAACGCTAAATATGCGTTTCTCATTCTCAAGCTGAAACAACATCATAACGTGACGGTCGTGCGAGAAAAACGGGACTTGAAATTAAAATGGCACGCACCGAGGGGAGAGAAATATCTGAAAAATAGAAAACGTTTATTCGATGGGTACTAATAATAACATTTACTTAAATCTAAATTCTTTTATTTAAATATGTAGAATAAGCATTTGCTTTCATGGAAAGCTGTAGATTAAAAGAAAAAATGTATGTTTTTCGTTTGAAACAAAATTTATTTTCAGTGTAAAAACATGCACGGAAAGAAGTGCTAGAATCAAGTAAACACAACTATCGCTTTTTCAGTCTCTTAAATAATGTTTTTATCAACTTAAGTATGTTTTTATAGCTTGCAGAAATATTTACTTGAACGCAGGGGCATCTTAATTTGTAAGTGAATTACTGAATGTAAGCGTAAAATGTTTCTAAATTGAAGGGGATATTTAGAATTAGGCAGTATTTCTTTTCCATCGAAGAGACCTGGAGATTTTAAACTTAGATTTTTATATCCAGAACACATAGAATATTAATAGAATTAATATTAATATAAAATATTGTTATAAATATTTTTATAAAAATAAATTTTGCTATTCTCAATATCACGAATGTAACACTCGTCGCGATTTTCTTAACACATACAAGTAAATGTCACGTTATATATAGTCAATTATATTCCCGTTTCTAGTAAATATTTGCCAAGGGATATTGGAACAATCGTTTTACTTCAATCAAGTAAATATTACTTGAACGGTAGTAGCACTTCCCTTCACAGGTGTATATTATTACAAGTAAATATATCATTAGTACCCGTCGAGGAAGTATTTTCAGTCTCGTCGATTTTTCTCTCGCGGTGGCACTTAGCGTTCGCAGTGCGTTCCGAAATAAGGCTTCCGACAGCCGTTCGGTCGAGCCGCGCTCGATCTCACCTCGAGCGTCTCCTCGTATCGAGCAGGTTAATCGCGATTAATTCGTATCTGCCGATGCGGATTCCCGGTACGGGCGGGCTAATAAGGAATGCGTGCTAATAAAGAGAGAAACATAATAACGCGATGCGCGCAATTGGATTCATTAGGTCGGCGAGGTAAAAGTTCGGGCGCCGGACCGACATTAATTTCCGGGGCTACGCCCCTTCGCTTTTGTACGGCGTAGCGCCGCAATAACGGCGGATTAAGCGAGAGCTACGCGCGTAATGAATACCGTACTATTTTCATAGGGAAAATAGCGTTACTACAGCCAGGTTACAAGTACAAAGTTAATCACGATCCTTGACGCGCCCTCGCGTGCGCTCGCTCATGCGTGCACGCGCGCTTACGCATAAACGCTTACGCATACTCGGAATCGCGCCCTCGTTACCACGCGTGCACTAACAACCGCCAATAACCTGTCAATCCGCAAGTATACACCGTGGCGGGAATACTGCACACCGCGGCTTGGCGCCGTCGCCGCGCGAATTATTATGATTACCAGCGTCTCTCTCTCTCTCTCAGATACACGCGGATTTCCGCGTGGCCGATAGATAGACGACACAATGTATGAGTATATGCTGCGAATTAAAGTCCTGCTCTTTCTCGAAGCGCTCCTCCCCGATGGTCGAGATGCATACCGGAGGCGTCGCCGCTGTGACTGATCGATCGCTTCTCCCGGTCGATTTAAAGGGGGGGGGATCCGATAATCCGCCGAAAATTGGAAACCGAGCGTCCCGTCGACGCGTCGCGACGTTAGTTCCTACGAAAACACCCTGTACCGTATCCACGGGAACTGGAAATAAGTAGAAAGTAAATCGTAACTTTTCGGCGAAGTACTCTCGGACGCGGCGTCCTCGGGAACTTTCCTCACCTCACAGCTCACTCGATATCCACGCGGCGTAGAAATTCGACCATGTGTTTTACAAACACCCCGTGCGTGTTAGCGTGCGGTAAATAAATGACGGTGACGAAAAAGCCGGGACGGGGCAGCACGGAACGAGAGAGAGAGAGAGAACGAGACGAGTTCCGAAGGAGGCGAGGTCCCGACAGCGGCCTAATTTTTCATTTCCATCGCTCCCGCCAGCGGCCGCGGAATGGAGGGAAGGGAGAACAGGTTTTCAGGTCGATAGGGTACCGCGGGGCCCTACGTATCTACCTGACGACGCGAGCCCTCTACGCGCGAGGGAAAATGGTGGTGAACAGGTGCTCGTAAAAATTTGACGACTACGACTTTCCTCGCTCCTCCCCATTCCTTCCCCTCTACCGCCCGTCGAATTGGGACGAATTATGGAATCGAGACTGTCGCGCGCGAGCCTCTTCCTCGGTCTCTCCGATCTCGTGCCTCGGCTCCTGTCTCCTTCGGCACGTTCGCTTGGAAATTTGAAGTGAGTAATCGCTATCGGCAACATGCGCAGATGCACACGGAGAAAAATTAGTCTTAAATGAAGAATAGATATTCTCATATACAGAACGTCCCAGTTCTCGCGACTTTCGTCATTTCGTGCAAGTTAACTTTTTCTCAATGGAAATGTCGAGACATTAATACGCGATATAAGAGATTGAAAAAGCGGGGCTTTTCGCAAAAGCTAAGCTTCGGGCGACCAAACAGACAACAAAATCACCTTCTCCTACTTATTTCAAACGGTCTTTAAGCTTAACGGAATTTTAATTTGAGACTTAGCTAAAGAGACATGTTAAAGACTGGAAAGTAGTCACAAATAATTATCTCCCTCGATATTCTCGCCAGGAAAAATTAACTCTAAATTGCCCTGGGAATCTCTCTGGGTAAAATTAGAAATCGCGAGAACTGGGACACCCTGTGTAAGCAAGAATATTATAATCCTTTTAGAAGATTTTGGTTTTGATCTGAATGGATCTGATTGTATTGATGTTCAAACATTACTCAACTCGAGAATAAATATCTTCTAAGAATATTATAATATTCTTGCTTGTATGAGAATGTCTGTTTATTCAGTCTGTTTATTACTACGATTATATGAGAATGTTTATCTAGATTTAAGACTAATTTTTTGCATATCAAGACACAAGACACAAAGAGAAAGAAAGAGAGAGAGGGGGAGAGGAGAGAATCGTCTTTGTCATCATCGTTAATAACGATCGCAAGGACGCGAGGATTCAAAGTCCCCGAAGAATTCCTTCCTGCATCTCTTTCCTTTCCTGCATCGTCGAGATAAAGGTTATCTTTCTCCCTCCTATTTATTCGTCCGCTCTGCCTATCTAAAAAACACACACGGTTCTCTTTCTCGAGAAAACCTCGACATATAATTCTCCATACTACAACGAATAGTTCGCCAGTCTCTCTCTCATTCTCTGTTTTTATCTATCTTTCTCTCTCTCTTACGAAGGATCGTTACTCGCCACTCGCGTGTGTCTCACATCGCATCGCCACGCGAACAACTCATCGAGAGGCGATCTCTCTGGCCGAATAACGAGCGGGTCTCGACGGAACGCGTCCGTTATCCGTCCGTCAAATT